TGAAGCTCGCGCTATGGCAGCAGGGCAAATGCACCTCTCAAATGCAGCGGTGGCGGAGATAAATATGGACATTCACCGCACGGGAGATAAACATGGACACACATCGGGCGTAAAACTCTAGCACGAGAACCATCACGGTCACTCTTCCCGGCCGTGCGTATCACAACTGACATAAGCATAAGCAATTGCAGTCACCAACTCTCGAACGCGACCTCATTCCCAGTCTGAGGGCACGAAACAGCTCCACTGGATACGGACAACGTCTGCCAGATATGAATGCCGTCGCAACTCCTGCACAGGCGCCAGCGCTCACATCTGACGCGATCATCATGACCTAGAGCGCTGCGAGCCTGCGTACCAAGCGCCAAGGCGGACACAGCGGCGCCCCAGCAGGCACAGGTTCGTATTTACTCCGCCAGGTGGCAGCCACGTGCGGTCTCCGACGCCGTCCACGGCGTTCCTCAAGCCACACCGTCCGTGCTTTGGTAGCGATTATGAGCATTGCAGTACGCAGCATCATCGCCGACCCCGGTGCCTTCACCACAACCGCTCGCCTTTCGCGTTGCTCCTCACATCCTCGCAGGAACGCCGAGAGGACCCAGTCCTCGCGGCCTCCCGCAACGCCTCCCTGCCGCCTACGCAGAGCCCGTCCGCATGCCCCCTCATTCACGTGGCTGCACGCAGCGCGTCTCGTCCGCCTCCCAGCCGGCGCCTCCCTCCCAGTGCGCGAGCCGGTGCCGACATGCGGTATCACACGGCCTACACACGTGCTGATAATGCCCAGCCGCAGCCAGGCGGCGCTCTCTCACACCGCACCGAGCAGGCGCACGCCGCCATCTTCCACCGCGCGCGAGAGGTGGTGATACCCACCGCCATCCACATCCCACGCACAACGGCAGGGGGCGGCGCCCGGGCCGGGCCTCTGCTGCAGGCTATCCGGCGCTCGTCTGGAAGCCAAGCCGCCCGCGGAGGCAGTGGCAGCCCGCCCCGGCGGGTCAGGCGGCGATCAAGCCGTGTAACGGTACGGTCGGCCGGCGTCGGCGCCCAGAGCAGACAGCAGCACTGGGGCTTCGCTGCTCCCCATGCGCGGGAGCAGGCGGCGGTGCTGAGGCTTCGTTGCTCCAGCTACGGGGGAAGAGACGGCGCCGCTCACAGCAGCGTGCAGCGCGTGATTTTGGGCGGCGCCGGCTGCGGGCAGAGCACAGCACGGATGGCCTCGTCGAACACAGTCTTGAGCCCTTTCTGCGTGAGCGCCGAGCACTCGAGGTACTTCACGGCGCCGATCTCCTTCACCATCGCCAGGCCCTGCAGATGGGGTCAAACACGGGTCAGGCCAGGTCACACGGGTCAGGTAAGGTCACGCAGGTCAAGTAATATATCTTGTCCCACGGGTCAGGTAAGGTCAGGTCAGATCACACGGGCCAGGTAACTCCCAGGTCAGGTCCCACAGGTCAGGCAACACCCAGGTCAGGTCACGCAGGTCAGGTAACGTCCAGGTCATGTCACACAGGTCAGGTAACGCTCAGGTCACACACCAGCCATGAACACCCCGCAGGCGAAGTCAGACAATACTCAGACGGCGCTGCGTCCGGGTCGCAAGGATCACGCAGGGGCCGGGTCAGATCACAAAGGTCAGATCGGCATCCCACTGGCGACACGTACACAGCTGCCGGACAGCTGCCGCAGCCACAACGGCAGCGCCGTCACTCCGACCGCCCGGTGCCCGTCTACAACAAGTCCGCCGTGGGACCAGTTTAAGAGGTCACGCGAACTCTGCACCCGGTCCAGCCGACACCGACCGGACGGCACGAGCGACGCCCGGAGACGGAGATATGCGACGGGACGCGAAGACCGCACACGAGGAGCCGGCGCAAACGACACGGCGGCGGCGCGTCCTCAGCTATTCGGCGCTGGACCCCCGGTGTCGTGACCACGTGCCCAACACTCCACCGCACCCCTGTCTCAGAGGTATCACGTGAGAATGTCAGAAGATACGACTGAATTCCGACAACCACTGGTTTGGGCCACATCAATCGGCGGCACACACACAGGAGCAGACTGCCAGAGTCCAAACCAGAAACAGCAAACAATACGGGTCACGGGGTGCATGGTACACGGGCGCGACCGCGCCCCGTCAGCGGGGCTTCGCAACTGATCACGGCCACAACACACGGCTTAATAACCAGAGGCGACACCAAACCAGGCACAGGTCATGTCATGACGATGTCACACAGTTCCGACACGAACCGTGTCGGGCCCCCTGACCCTGGCCGCTGGGTCCCTGACCCTGACCCCTGGGCCCCTGACGGCGACACGACACCAGGGTGCAGTGCACGGCTCGACGGAGACAACCTCCTCCAGAAACTCACAGCATGCCATGCGCGACGGCGGTGTAGGTGACCTTCGGCCCCACCGCCGCGCACGTTATGGTCGGTTGCCACGAGGCCCGACCGTCGCGAAGGGATCTGGATCTGGGTAGCTGGATCTGGGTAGCTGGATCTGGGTAGCAAACGGACGACACACAAAACACAAGCCTCCACGCGGGCCCACACCAAGGCAGTGGGAGGCATGCCACACGCGTGCATCCCGTCTAGGGCTATCAATGTGCAAAGAAGACCGAGGGTTTCATGGTTTCAGATCCGAGTTTCCTGACGCGCAGTCGAAAAGACACTCGGTAAAAAGGGTGCGACACTCTGGGACTCCAGTTTGACACCGAACAGGTTGGAATACACAGCAGTGAGTGATAAAATACCACAATCTTGCCACAAGAAGCCATGCGTGATATGCAATCGAGCTCCACTTCGTCACCACAACTAATCAAGACCAACAAGAGAAAACGCCAGGCATGCGACCAGTACCAGTAGCGCTACCTATGCCGCTTTTACCACGCCCGCCACGCCATCTATAGCAGACGGCAGGCGTGCCGTTCGGGATTGCGCGGCACGGGGAACAGGACAGCCCGAATCGCCTCGTCAAAGACGTTCTTCAGGCCCTTATGAATGAGGGCCGAGCACTCGAGGTACTTGACAGCGCGCACGTCTCGCGCCATGTGTAGGCCCTGCCGACGCACCGGCCCATAATGCTTGAACGCAGGCGGCGGAGGCATATGCCCAGCCCCAGTTATCACCGGGAGGATCGCAATGAGCATAGGTGCTGGGCTCAACGTCAAACGCGCTATTCAAATCACTGCTTATTTGTGATGTACAAGAATCAGCTGAGGGCCACAGTAGGCAAGACATTGGGCTCAACGTCAAAGAGACTGTTTCAATGAATGGTGCCTACTAACGTGTACACCCAGCCATGGGCTCCGTCCATCGCCATCGAACTGACAACTTGGACAAGATAAACCAAGAGAGATCTGCTCCGGCCGAATTAATGCAACATTGGTCACACTGAAAACGAACAAAAACGAGTTTTAAAATAGTTAGTTCATACCTGCCGGTTTTACCCGTATTAGGGAAATCACCTTTACGGAAAACGCTAAGAGTGAGGGAAAGATCCATTTGATTCATTCAGGACCACAGTGACACACCAAACCACCATTCGTTTCCACCACTCCAAAATCGTCCAAAATCTAACTGTAAGTCATTCCACCCCAGTGTTGAAAAGTAGGTGCGCACACATTGAGCCGAGGTCAAGGGCGTCGACGTCGCCAAATAAAGACCCAAAACGAAAAAAAAACAATCAGGTTGCGGTGCTCTACCAATGAGATTACAAGTGAAACATACTGCAGTTTGGCATGACTTGAAATCTCTTCCCGATGAAAACGCAATATCAAGAAAAGTCGAATGGCACGCAAACAGCATTTCAGCACGCTTGAGCTATTGGTTTTACAAGACGATCTGCACATTTTACACTCATAACTGGAGAACATGAACAGGATATACGGTGCCGTGTTTCAAGAAACGTAGATTCCTACCAACGCCATCTTCAGCATGGACACGGCGCGACGAAGCGGTCCTATCAAATAAGACGTACGGAAGTGCATGTAATATAGTATTAATGGCACCGTACAAAAGCACGTGGATGAACGGTACTTCGACGAGATACCTGGCGTTGCCAGAAATAATGTTTGGTGTATGTCGAACCAATGAGAATGGCGTGTTTCCCAAAATAGATGCATGTCTACGATACACAGAGACACACAAAGACATCGAAAAAGGCGATGTTGTTTTACGGAACGTAGAAAATTGCACGTGCCAGCGGTGCCCTGAGCTGGGTTTTCAGTGATAAAGATTAGTCACACCAAGAACTGTGAGCTGCGCCAGTGATCACGACCGACCATGTGCACCCCCCCCCCCCCCTCCTAACCCCATCCCATCCACCCATCTAGGGAGGCGGGGCCTTGACGACGGACCGCTGTGGTTGCGATCACCGCGTCGGTGCCTGAACGGCCGGCTCTGACAAGGCCCTGACGCCACACTTCAGACCGGAGCGGCACCCCTGGCTGGGCGCCCGAAAAAAACACGCCGCCGCCGGCCGCCCACCCGCACAACAGCTCAGCTCCGTCTGCACCACAACGCCAGCGCTGTCGCCGTCAGATATCTGGAACGAGACAAACAACTCCCAAGCAGAGCGGTCGTGCAGCGCGAGCGGCGCCACGCGGCGAGTCAAAATGACTTCGGCAAAGTGCGGCGCGAACGCCAGAGCCAAACACATGATTTGGGAAATGATTGAATGAATGAATGATTGATTGACTTGTTCATTGGTGTTTTCGGGCGCCTCGACTTGACTGAAAAGAATTATGCTTTGCCTGTGGGGTACCATGGGGTGCCATGTGTGCTAATTCAAGATTCTAAAACATATTAAAAATCATATTTTGCAGTCAGCCCACCCGCAAGCTTAATGTTTAGGACATATATTAGTGATTAGTCCTATACCTGTTAATGTCATGTAGATGTCTTATATTCATATTTTCTCTTAGCTCACCTTCAAACTTGATGTTCAGGGCATATATAAGTTATTTGTCCAGTACCTGTTAATGTCAGGGAAACTGTATATGTATACATATATAGGATGTGCGGTACTGTGGTACATATGGGACATTCTGGCATGGGACTAGTGGCTTATACATGTTCTAAACATGAAGTTTGAATGTGGGCTGAGAGAGCAAATATGGATTTGTTGTTGAAGGATTTTTAGAGCTAGTGGGCATGGTCGTTAAGAACCAAGAGTACTGGCATGCTGTAAACCAAAATAATTGTGATTTTGCTTTACCTCTAGGTATACCATGTAGTAACTAACCATTTTTGTGTCATTTATTTTACTTCACATTGCTCTAAAGTGTCAGTTTTGGTGTTGATGCTACCACCTGCCAGCCTAGTGGTGGTGCTGGTCAGCATGCTCTAAATTGTTTGCAGGTCCAAAGGCAATGGCAGCCAATGAGCCAGGCTTCATGGTGTCTGTGACAGGCCAGATTGAGTCAGCAAGCCTGGCTGACTTTGATGACGTCTACTGCCGCTACTCCTTCCACCATGGCCCCGACTGGGAGATGGTGGCGGTACGTGCAGATGCTGGTTGTGTTCTATGCCTCAGCCAGCAGTGAACTCGGCTTTGGATGTTTTGCCTTGGATTTATGCTGATGCACATTTAAGTATAACAAAGCATTTGTACAGATTTTACCAGGTCGTAAATCACTTTATGTACCTTGAGATTGTGCTGTAATGTTGGCCACTGCATGATCTTCATATGAATGAACTCCCAATGTTTGTTTGAGGAGATTTCTGAGATTACAGCCCACGCCTATCATGACTCGTATGATCCCTAATCCCACTACCGATCGTGAAATTCCAGTTGAATGGCACAATCTGTGTGACGAAAGTTTAAAGTGCCGACAAGCACTCTGAAGTGAGCGGAACAGAGTTCGGGATCAGCGCTGTGTCCCGTCGTCACCGCGCACGAGTCGGCTCCGCTGACGACAGCCGCTCCGCCGCCAGGGTCTGGACGAGGGTATCTCGCAGATCAGCAAGCGCAGCCAGGACGAGCGCCAGCTACTGGTCTGGAACCTGCCCGTCGAAGTGTCGTTCAAGTCCACCAACCCGCACGGCTGTGAGTTGGGCGCCGGCAGCCCGCCGCCCGCCTGCTGGCTCGTCCGCCCGCTCGCCCACCCGCTCGCCCGCCCGCCCGCCCGCTCGCTCGCTCGCCGTCCGCTCGCCGTCCTCGCGCACACACGCCCGCCCGCCCCGCCGCCTGCCCCGCCGCCTGCCCGCCCCGCCGCCCCGCCGCCCCGCCGCCCGCCGCCCGCCCCCGCTCGCTCGCTCGCCGTCCGCTCGCCGTCCTCGCGCACGCACCCCCCCGCCCGCCCCGCCCGCCCTGCCCCGCCGCCTGCCCCGCCGCCTGCCGCCCCGCCGCCCCGACGCCCCGCCGCCCCGCCACACCTCCGCTGCCCGCCCGCCCGTCTTCGCGCACGCTCGCCGGAACGGGCCGCGCCAGCACCGGGGATGCGTGCGCGTCGGGGACGGCAAGGGCGTCTCATGTTTTGAGGTCTGGTCATGCCGTGACAAAGGTTTGTGTGTGGGGGGGGGGCGGGGGGGGGGGGTCGTACAGGCAGTGGTCCACGGGGCGCCCGAAGTCGAATTATCGGGATGTGGCGTGTGCCGCATTTCGCCGCTCCGGGTCTGGTAAAAATAGATAAGACAGTTTTACCGGCCTTTTCGTCGTACAAATGCGAGGGAAATGGAGAGATAGACGTATTGCTATTTTGGCTACATGCCTTATTCACTTTGATAAAGGCATGTGGCCGAAAGATCAATCCATCTTTTTCTCCATCTTCATAGTTTTTCTACAAAGAATAAGGCTATTAATACTGCGTTATAAACATGCATAATGTTTCGTCGCGAATGCACTAACAACTCACGTGGTCTCGCGAAACTTACTTCAAACTTTATGGGTATGATACCTGCATCTTCAGAAGCACCTGGCGCGTGTGTGCGGTGCCGTCACCGCGACAACGACGCAAACGCTCGTCCCATGCCCTTCTGCCTAATTGTAAAGTTAATCACCACGTCACCACACCACGTCTGTGTAATGTTTGCAAAATGGGGTGTGCGTGATAAATATTTTACAGCAATACATTTCGTGAAAGAAACAGCAACGTATGATAAGCCGTTGCAAACGCGCGTTGCAAATTCGTCTTGCAGGGCCGCAGCTGATCGTCAGCTGTTACGGACCGGACCTGTTCGGCAATGACGTCATTCGTGGCTACGGCGTGTGTCACGTGCCGGTCTGCTCGGGGAGCCACCGGGTCAGGTGAGGGCCGCCGCCGGCCGCGCCCGCGCCGTCCTACTCACCGCTCGCAGAGGGTCTCCATCTGCCCACGCGATGCGCGCGTGCCCAACTATTCTGAGGTGTCGTTTATGTACGATTTGGAGTTTGCCCTTGGAGCGGGCAGTCTTGCATTTCGAGGTGGTGATTTGATGAGTTGTGCTGTTTACATAAACTGAACATTGTATCGGGGAATTTCTGGGTAGTCGCGGCTTGTCTTTCTTTCGTTGGGAACTACCTGGCTGGCTGTCAGTTGTTGATGATTGATATTACATGGCGCTTCGCCTGCTAAGCCTGTTAAGCGCCGACACTGGGCGTCGACCGTAACCTCGTAGATCCGGCCTGCTCCGCGCATGACGTTCCGGCCGGGAGCCATGTGGCGTCTGTGTGCGCCGAAGGTGGCCGTGTGAACGGTGCTGGTGTGTTTCTGGGGCAGCCGTGCAGCCAGCGGCGGCCACAGCCCCGGCCATCGCTCCGGTAGGTGTTAGGTTACACAGCGCTCGTGTGCACTGGGTTGTCACCCTACAACTAGGCTAGGCGATTACTATGTGTGCCCATGGGAGCAGGTAGAGTCAACTGGTCTTCTTGTGCGCCTTTGGGTGGTCGTGCTGCGTTACCCAGTCGCTGTGCACACACGGAGGAGCGGAATTCTGTGTTCAGGGTATCCTCGGGTGGCCGTGTCCAGTTACCCATTGACTGCGTGCTTACCCAGGATGGCCGTGTTTTATGTTCATGGTGTTCTCGGGCGGCCGTGTCCAGTGATCTCCTGACTGCGTGTTTACCTAGGATGGCCGTGTTTTATGTTCATGGTGTTCTCGGGGGCCGTTTCCAATGATCCATTGACTGCGTGTTTACCCAGGATGGCCGTGTTTTATGTTCATGGTGTTCTCGGGGGGGGGGGGGGGGGGGGCCTTGTCCAGTGATCCATTGACTGCATGTTTACCCAGGATGACCGTGTTTTATGTTCAGGGAGTTCTCGGGGGGCCGTGTCCAGTGACCCACTGACTGCGTGTTTACCCAGGATGGCCGTGTTTTATGTTCCGGGTGTTTTCGGGGTGCCGTGTCCAGTGACCCACTGACTGCGTGTTTACCCAGGATGGCCGTGTTTGTACCGGAGTCGACCTCACAGCTGCAGAAGCTGGCTTCCTGGTTCACGGGCCGCCGACCGGAGCTGGTCGACCCGGTAACGCTGGCGCTCGGCGAGGGCAGGGAGGGTGAGATGACCCGGTCACGCTGGCTCTCGGCGGGGACAGGGAGGGTGAGATGACCGGGTCACGCTGGCGCTCGGCGAGGGCAGGGAGGGTGAGATGACCCGGTCACGCTGGCGCTCGGCGAGGGCAGGGATGGTGAGATGACCCGGTCACGCTGGCGCTCGGCGAGGGCAGGGAATGTGAGGTGACGCGCACATGTGTGCGTGCGCGGACCGGGCGTAGGGGCCCGTTCAGCTCAGGGGCCCGTTTTCCCGCAAAAGAGCCCTGCTTTTGATTTTTGAGGACATTAAAGGCTGGAACTCACATTTTAAGACATTGGGAGCCGGATCTTGAGGATGCAGATGTGACGTTTGTGTTTTAGTCCCTCATGTCTTACGTGATGAGTTTTATGGTCACTACACGCAGCTCTCAGCCAGTGTTGAGATTTTTAGAGAAACTAAAGCCACATCTCTAGACGCGGCAAGGTTATGACTTATGACCTACTAAGATTCAGTGCGAGCCAAACAAGCGTCAAGCGTACGAAATTGGCATTCTGAACGCGCTCGTTCCCGTCCAGCCCGTCTTACTGTCGGGGCCTGCACCGGTGGCAGTGTCGGCGTCCCAGCACATGGCGCCGCTCCCTCCCCTCCTCCCGCCGTGACCCCCGCCCGTGACGCGCCGGCGCCCCCGCTGACCGGGCGTCCCCTGCGGCAGTGATGCGGGTCCGGTCGCAGGGCGTAGTCACCTGCCGGCTGCAGGTGCTCACCAAGGACCTGCGGCGGCTGGGCTATGTCAGCGGGCGTCAGCCGGAGACGGACGGCGCCGAGGCGCGCGGCGCGGCGGCGGCGGCCGGCGTCGGGCACGCCGCCCTGGTCCAGTGACACCCCGGACGCGGTCGGTGACGTCACAGGGCGCAGGGGCGTCTGCAGTGGCCGGCGGCCGCGGCGCCCGGCGACGGAGCCTTGGAGTGACCGGCTTGTGACATCACTTGTGGCTTCGCCGGTGATGGGCGGGCCGCGGTGCACGACGGGCGCTCGCGTGGTTCGGATCGGTTTCAGCTTAGTCTTGCGTGGTTATCTGTTGCCGCGATCAGAGTTTCCCGCAGACATGCTGGCTCATCTTTGGGCGCCGTCAGAGGCACGTGCCAGTATCGTGGTGTCACCGGCCGCGGTCGTCCTGCGGGTGTCGCGGCAAAGCTGATTTCTGAATGGGCGCGACTCGAGAACGTCCGCCATTGGTCGCCCTTCTTCGCTTGGTTCATCGACGTGGGACGTTGCCAGCCGCGGGGACAATGAGAAGACATATTGGGGGGGGGGGGGGGGGGGCAGTCGTTGTGTCTGCTTCAACGCCCAGGGTCGCTGCATCAGAGCCCTGTGCTCTGTGCTCTGCGTTCCGTGTTTAGTCTCAACGCTCCCACAGTGGAACGGCCGGTAGTGTCGTGGTATTGGCTGCATCCGTCCAAAGTTGTGTACAAACGGACCTCGCTTCTCTGCGTGCGAATCGTGTGATTTAGCCGTCCATATCAATCATATCATTTTCATCGATCAAGTCTACTCTTTGTCTAGTCGTAAGTGTGGCATGCGTTTTTTAAATCATGCGTAGATGTGACCGTTTGACGATCTCAAACTTGCATATGGCTTTATGAGTGGCGCGTTTAGAAATAAAGCAGTGCAGAGATCATTCTGTAGACTCTTCCTGGTGAGACGGCACGTGCTGCTCTGCCTCTACAGATCAGTTGGTTTAGAGTCGAACGTAGACCGATCCGTGGCAGGCGTGGGAGATAGCAACTCGAAATCGCCCATTGGCTCGCGTCACTTCCGGCCAATTGGAACCTGGCCAAGAGAGGAGCAGAGATGGAAGGGGCTTGCCGTAGCACGGCATTGTATGGCGCGTTGAAATGTTTCAGTACGAATTATGCATTCCACGGGAAATTCCATGCTTTGTTGGTTGCGTCAGGGTCGTCGGAGCTGATGTTTTGGCGAAGACGTCTATCACATTCATTCCTGCAGAACTTTCGGTCAGCATTGTGAAAACATGTTTGGAACGCACGTTAGCATGTCGATATATTCTCGGATATGAAAGTGTCCGTGAAGTTCGTTGTTCCCAGGGTCTGATTTTGGGACAAGCGTCCATGCCATACGGCTCCTGCAGTTAGTAAGCGCCAATTCAAGCGCGTGAATGGCCTATTGCTCTGTGCCACCTGCCACGTTCTCCGTGTTAGAACTCCTCACGCAGCTCGACACACATGGATTATGGAGTAGTATCAGTTCTGGTTATTGAATCGATTCAAGCGTGGAGCGGTTACATCGACGGCAGCAGTCCGCACATCTAACTGATGCAATCTCTAAACTATCCTGTAGCCGGGGCGCGACGGTTGCAGGTCGACCGGGCGCCTCTGCACGTCAGTCATAAACAAACGGATAACTGTAAGCGGTGCAGTAGGCCGGATTGGCGCAGCGGTCGAATATCGTGCGGTCAAGTACCGAAGCGAGCAGGAAAGGCCCGAGCAGACAGCTTCCAGGTGGCTGTCGCCGCTTGGGGCGCGGAGTTCGCTCGTCCCCGGGCCGCTCCTGGGTCGGGGCGCAGCGTCATGCCTGGTCTCCCGCCGCCCCACAGTCCTCGGTCCCTCACAGCTGGCGCCCCCTGCCCGTCAGGGGCACGGCTCGTTCCTGGCGCAGCTGGCCCAAGGGCGGCCTGTCCTCTGTCGTCCTGAACTGGCGACTGAACTGAAGGACTGAAGATGCACGCCTTCTAATACTAGTGGTGCTGAACTTCTGAAGCCCAGTCAACCAATATTGTCCACGATCTGCCTAAATTTCGATAGTCTGTTCGGTCGCCGTAAGATATAGCACGCGTATTTTCTGCCCTGCTCGTCACAACGCAGTATCTATGATAATTGTTCATCGCTATCCCCGAGCTCTGTTGAGAGAGGACTCCTCCGACCCTCACCAGCCCCTCTCGAGCGTATAGCCTCCTCCCGCCCTCTCTCCGCCTCACGGTCCGACACTGCTCACCACTCTACCCCCCGAGCCCGTCGCCGCTCTCCGGACCCTCCCCTTGAGCGCCTGCCGCAGCAGGCGTCGGCCGCGTTGGGTGGCCAGCAGGCGGCGCCACGTGTGCACCTCGGCCGGTGTTAGCGCCACCAGGCGGCGCACGAGCGGACCCAGGCGCTCGCGCAGGTAGGCGTCCAGCCGGTGACACTGGGCGGCCGAGTCGCAGTTGAGGTAGGAGCCCCACATGACGGCGCCGGGCAGACCACGGGTGCGCACCTGGCCCAGCATGGACAGCAGGTCCTCCTGCGACCGTGCCAAGGGCGCATTCAAGTAGGCGGTGAGGGTGGGGTAGGAGCACACAGGCTGGCTGTGAGGGTGGGGCGGGGGCGCTCTCAGACTTGCGGGTAGGGTGGGCAGGAGCGCTCTCAGGCTGGCTGTGAGGGTGGGGCAGGGACACACTCAGACTGGCCGTGAGCGTGGGGCAGGGGCGCTCTCAGGCTGGCGGGGAGGGTGGAGCAGGGGCGCTCTCAGACTGGTGGGGAGGGTGGGGCAGGGGCGCTCTCAGACCGGCGGCGAGAGTGGAGCAGGGGCGCTCTCAGGCTGGCGGGTAGGGTGGGGCAGGGGCACTCTCAGGCTAGCGGGGAGGGTGCGACAAGTCCAGTACCAGCCTTCCTGGCGCTACCACCAACGCCATCATCTAAACTGCACCACTGAACGCCGCAGCATTTTCACCCAAGCTCAGCGGGTATAACAGAGAGTGTGCTCACAAGCATTGTCGCGGCATCCCAGCGATCTTTCACTTACGCGTACATGCTGGCCAGCGAGACGTTTTGAGTAAAATCTTTTCATCTGCCTAACAACGCAGCCCCAATTGCACCTCCCGCCTACAAACGAAATCGGCGTCGGCCTACCTCAGACAGATAACTGGGATCGTCGTGGTACCGGAACCAGGTGTACGTGTAGACGGGGACCTCGGCTGCTAGCCGCAGGGCCTCGTCCAGGCGGCCCCTCACCGTGGCGCGCCGGTCAGCGTCCGTAAACCCGTTCCGGAACAGGTACACGGACGGGTACAGGGCGCTGCTGGAGCTCAGGAGCCACCACAGCCTGCAGCGGACGGCAGGAGCAATGGCAATAATCCACTTCCGATGCAAAGGCTGGGGGTGGGCACGCGGTTGCCATGAGAACGTGCTTACACGAAAGGGTACTGACACAAACGTGGGCGGGATTGTACAAGACGCAGCTGGTACCCAGCAGCGATGACGGCACGTAGAGTGCAGGATTGTACCGGGCGGGTATAGCGGGCCGGCACAGGGACAGGAGCATGCAGCAGTCGCGACAACCATCAGCAGACGGACCACAAGGGGATGGGTTCTCACCGAGCGGTGACCAGCAGCACTACTACTGCCTGGCTCGGCCGCGAAATGGCAGCACTGACCGGTCGTTTTTGTCGCGCCATGACTGCGGACAGGTGCCGTTGGGGATGTGCAGGTTCCCGCAGAGCGGATACTGGTAGTAGCCCCAGGCAGCGGCCGGCCGGGCACGCTCGGCCGCCTCCAGCGTCTGCTGAAGGAACAGGCGAGCCCACCACTCAAAGTCCTCCCGAGCCTGCCGGAACCGGTCACCGGTCAAAGCCCCCCCCCGAGCCTGCCGGCACCGGTCACGGGTTAAAGTCCTCCCGAGCCTGCCGGCACCGGTTACGGGTCAAAGTCCTCCTGAGCCTGCCGGCACCGGTCACCGGTCAAAATCCTCCCGAGCCTGCCGGCACCGGTCACGGGTCAAAGTCCTCCCGAGCCTGCCGGCACCGGTCACCGGTCAAAGTCCTTCCGAGCCTGCCGGCACCGGTCACCGGTCATAGTCCTTCCGAGCTTGCCGGCACCGGTCACGGGTCAAAGTAATCCCGAATCTGATAACGCGGGCCACGGATCCAAGTCCTCCCGCGTCTGAAAAGACGGATCACGAATGAAAGTCCTCGCAGGTCTGATAACACGGACTGTGGATCAAATTTCTCCCTGGTCTGAGGTTAGGGGCCGGGGAGCAAAGTCCTCTCGAGTAAGTGGAGAGACCAACACCAACACCAACAGATCACCAACAGTTTTCCGTAGCCTCTCATCTCAGGCGTCCTCGCCACGGTCCTCCTAAGCTGCGGGAGAAAAGGGTCACGACCGAAGCTCACCTGGAGTACGGAGAACACTTCTCGAAGTCTTTTAAGACCTCAAAACCAAGCTGCTGCTCAAATCATTCCTCAGTCTGGGAGACAGACCACAGGTCCAAGCGCTTCCGGGCTTGACCGAGTGTTCGCGGGTGTTGGTATCGAGGGCGGGGGGGGGGGGGGGAGGGGCGATTCACCGGGTTGCTCATCCGCGTGACCCGTTGAATCACCCGCACGTCTGTGCTAGCGTGGTTGGCCTGCCCAATGACACCCCCCCCCCCCCCCCCCCGTCCGCGTGCGTCTGACCTGTTCGGCGACGCGGGTGTCCGTCCATTGCGGGTGCTGCCGCCTCACCAGCTGTAGCGCCGCCTGCTTGAGTGGACTCGCCAGCGCGGCGAACCAGGGCGTCCAGCCCTCGAAGTCGATCACCCCCACGCCTGGTGTGGGGAGGGGATCACTCCCACGCCCGTCATGCTGGGCTCAGCGTCAGCTCTCGAGGTGTGAGCTTTGGGGGTGGAGTCTTCAATGCATTGGAGTGGCTCGACATTGTTTTCTGAACGTGAATGCAGACCTGTGGGACGTTGTGTTTATGCATTCGGCTCAGATACCACACACACCCTTTCCACATACACGTTGATTTTCAGGAAAGTCCACACCAGGACGCCACCATGCTCCTGAATCATGTCACGGTAATATGTTAAAATCATACGAGGCGGTGGCTACGTTGGTGAGTGCTCCGCATCAGACAAATGGTTATATTTCGCATAATCTGACGTGCAGGCATAGTTAACCACGCATCCAAATTCGGGTCTATATTGATATACGCCGAAAACACGGTCACGCACATCTCACCCATTAATGCATGGAGTTCAAACGTGAAAATGGCTACGTGCTCGCCACGCCAGCAAGTACATACAACTTGAGCAGCCTGACCTCTAAAGGTCGTCGTATGACCTCCAGGCAATCGTAGGTAAAAAATGGTCCCACAGTTCTCCGTCCGTAAAATATCGGATCCAAATCTGACAACAGTGCTCAGTGACATCAGACAACGTACTCGCCACGTCATCAGGCGTTTGCCCTCAGTTGGCCTAACCTCCAGTGAAGTAATGCGTGACCGCGTTTTCTCTCTGATTGCCTGGACGCTATACGGTGACCTTTAAAGGTCAGATCACGAAAGCTGTATAAACGTGACGTCACTGCCACCCCGTAAGCGTTGTCATATTTGGATCCAATGCGTTTTGACGGAGTACTGCGTGACTACGTTTTTAACCTATTATTGCCCGGAGGCTATACCATGACATTTGAAGGTCATGCTGCCAATTGTTCGTACACTCGACGTCATGTTGAGCACGAGCGTATTTTCAGATTTTAATCCCATGCAATAAGGACAGAGCTGTGCTTGCCCCCAATGTTGGTGTGTACGAATAAATATTCGAATATGAATACGTTGTAAATTGTACCCCCCTCGATATGCCACAATAAGTCTGTTCAGTGTTCGAGGTACAGGCTGATTAGCACGATGTGCTAAGTCTTCCAAATTGTGCTTTTCGCAAAAAAATATTGTTTGATGTCTCCCGCGCGCTAAAGCATGTCAGATCACCTTGCATGCAAACCGACTGGGCCCAAAACGAAAACGGAGAGAGACCGCAAGTGCGAGAGAGAGAGAGAGAGAGAGAGAGAGAGAGAGAGAGAGAGAGAGAGAGAGAGAGAGAGAGAGAGAGAGAGAGAGAGAGAGAGAGAGAGAGAGAGAGAGAGAGAGAGAGAGAGAGAGAGAGAGAGAGAGAGAGAGAGAGAGCACGAGGAGAAGAACCACAACTCACCGCTGAAGTTGACGTCTGGCACGGATCGTTCCAGGTCCTCCTGGAACCGCTTCAGGTGGACGTCCAGCGACCCCACCTGCGGCAGGCCGCCATTCACTTCCGAGCCGTTCTTCAGAATATTCGGAAACAAACCTGCCGGAGGACAAACGGCGCGCGTCGGAATCACGGGGAACGGAGAAAATCGTCAGCCGAGTGGCGACTTCAGGGGGAAAGTGGAAAAAATGACGTAGTGCGTGTGACAATATGAACTCCGGGCGATTCGACATCGTCTGAAAAGCCCATATCTCATGCTGAATAGCTTTGCAATCCTAGTGCAAGTCGTCGATTTGTTCTTTGCATCCAGTCAACCGACAGGAAATCCGCATGTCCATCCGACGGTCCGCTTCAAGCACAGCAAACTCGTGATTCGCCAGGTGAGAACAGCGCGCTGTGCATGCTCGGCCCGCTGTCTGTCGTACATCACCTGGAGAATAGAGCAGAGCGATCTGCCCCCCAGCGAACTTCTCGCCGGCGTTCACCGTGAAGCCGTACTGTCCGGGATTGAGGTCGACGCCGAAAGACTGGGTACACGGGGCTGACGGCACGTTCCAGAACACTCGGAACGGCTCGGCGGCCGGCGCCGGCCCGTCCCCCGGCCGCCCGTCTCCCGTCAGTTGACCCGCTGACGCCTGGGTCTCCGACTCAAGGCTGCCCATCAGCTGACTCTCCGTCAGCTGGTTCTCCGTCAGCTGGCTCTCCGTCAGCTGACTCTCCGTTAGGTGGCTCTCCGTCAGCTGATTCTCTGTCAGATCAGCGCTCGACAGCTGACCCGCTGCAAGCTGCTGCAGAGTCAGGTGATTCGCTGACGCCTGGCTCTCCGACTCCAGGCTGCTCGCCAGCTGACTCTCCATCAGCTGACTCTCCGTCAGATGACTCTCAGTCAGATCAGTGCTCGACAGCTGACCCGCTGCAAGTTGCGCCAGAGTCAGTGGTCCTGTCGCCAGCCACGCCGGCTCCGGGAGCACCACCTGAACGAGGGTCAGGACGGCCAGCAGGCGGGGAGTCATGGCGGACAGCTGCGACTCAGAGGCAGACGGCGGCTGCGCGGACACGGGTGCACAGCGCAGCGGGCGCCGGTGCCCACTGAGGGGCTGGTCACTGGCTTAACGGGATCCAGCAGGCTCCAAAGTGCACGTTGGCAGCCGCTGGGGTTAGCCCCTGCTTGACAACCAGGGCCGTCTCGACACACGTGTTCTCGGAGGCGTCCTTCCGGCTGAAACGGTCCTGTCGAACGTCAGCAGTGACCGAAGCCAGCGGTTTTCAGTGTTCTGCGGTGCTCCGCGCCCAGCACCACCGAGTTCTGGACGGCGTGGCCAGCGCAGCACCACCGGTCACCTGCTCAGTACCAGCGCCTGCAGACCGTGCCTGCAGGTCGGTACCAGCCTGCCGCCTCGCACCCCGCGCCTCCGCCGCTGACCACGTCGCGCGGCAGCAGACCGCACGTGCTCACCCTAGTCGCCCCGCGCTCTCTGCCGTCGCGCTCCGTCGGCCCGGCCTCAGCCGACTCCGGTCGTAAAGCGGGCCGCGCAGCCGCCGGCACCGCGCCGGCGCCATTTTTGCAGGGACGAGAGAAGGCGGGCACATGACGCCACCCATTTGACGAGCGCGAGCGCCGGACAAAAAGGCTCGCTCGACACCCTTCGAACCGGCGACCTGTCGACCGTTTTTCCGGAACCGTCCCCGCCCGTTTTTCCGGGCGGGGACCGTTCCACCCGCGTCAGCTACCGGACCTCATCATGTACCGTTAGCCAAGGATGCTAGAGCGGCCATCGCCCCTGCCGTGGGCCGCGAGTCGAGGGCGGCCCGCGTTCTGCGAAGCGGCAGGAGCTGCCACGCCGCCGTTGCGGTGGATGGCCGGCAAAAACGCGCCGCCTTCCCCTGCGCTGCTGGGCACGGCACCCACACCGGCGACATTGGGGGAGGCCTTCATATTGTCCAAAGTACAGAATGTCCAAAGGTACAGAACGTCCAAAGTGCAGAATGTCCAAGGTACAGAATGTCCAAAGTTTATAATGTCCAAGGTACACAATGTTCAAGATGAGAAATAACTTCCAAAATGGCGCAGGGTGAAAGGAGCCCGTTTCGTAATGCCCAATGTACAGCGTGTCCAAGGTACGGAATGTCCAAAGTACAGAATGTCCAAAGTACAGAATGTCCAACGTACGTATTGTCCAAGGTACAGAATGCCCAAGGGCCAGAGCTTCCAAAATAGTTCTTGGGGCGGGGGGGGGGCCTCCAGGGTGTAAATAATTGCCCTTATTGGTAGGCAGCGTTGCTCCGCCCGCTGTCGGCCGAGAGCGTACAGTCGACGCCAGTGCGAACACTACAAGCATGCGGTCGGCGTGGGGGGGGGAGGGGGGGTCGCATAGCAACGGATTCATTTCGCACGCTGGTGCAGAGATGGTGTCGGATGCTGTTGGTCGGCGAGGCTGCGCTCGACTTGCAAGTGATCGTTGAGTACGAGACGAGTACCGTGGAGTGGGGCGTTGGACACGCGCGGAGCTGCTGTGAAAGCGTCGCAGCGTTGCCCTTAGCCGGCCTGGAACTTGCTCTGTGTTCGACCGGGGGCGTGTTCGCTGTTTGGTCATAGCTTTATGAAACTAGACCCTCTTGTTGCAACTACTTTTTATTTTTAGTGATCGCTGTCACGTCTTCACCACAACTAGCCTACAGCGTCCAAATGAGTAAACCTTGCAAGAGAGGGGAAAGTATGGGTATCAATAATTTAGGCTTCCTATCGGGTTAATGGCCTGTTTCTGATCATGTATCACTGGCATTAGGGCAGGGATGTAACATATTTCAAAGCACACTACATTACAAATCATAGGATATGGTTCAATGAATAGCCATTTGTGGTCAAAATACTGCACATGATGCCATTTAGAACAATTAGCTGGTGCATCAACAGATTGGTGGAGACTTTTCATTGATGTGGATTCCCCACGTCAATTTATTGGGTCTGTCAGGGGCGGCGCCAGGAGATGTAAGTTGAGGAGAGGCTTTTCCAGCGGACTTATTGAACAACATGAGGTCTCCTTTCAGAGGGGGGGGGGGGGGCACACTGTCACATGTGGGCTGGGCAGCACTCACTAACTGATGGAGCTATGGCGGCGTTTCTGCTACTTAAAGTCACACAAGTCCAATAGGACGCACTGATTAACAAGTCATGAGATCCTGCTGGGCTGAGAGGTGGCTGTGCTTGGTTGCATGTATCTAGGAAGTCAGTCTGTAAAATGGCCGAAATCTGAGGACAACTTCGGTTTTTTAAATATGCTCGCTCTACAAGGGAAGTCGGTGACACTGCATCTGTTCATCGCATGAGAGCAAACCCAGAAATTTATCACTCGTTAAAAGAAAAAGGCAATGCTTACACGTGTGCTACCCGTTAATGCTTAAAACAGTACCGTAACACACACACACACGCGCACACACACGCACGCACGCACGCACGATTTTTTCTCACAATTTTAACATCGATGCCAAAACACAGGTACGTCAGTATACCGGGAGACCCGTGGCTACGCCAGGACTCTAGGCCAATATTTCCAAAATATTATGGCAAATCAACAGTTCCAGGTAGTGCACGTGGTCACCTGTGAATAAGTCACCACACAACGCACAATTCAAAAGGCCTGTGAATGATCGTAGCTGTTGTAAATATGTGCAGATCCCGACAAGAAAAGTATCAAAATAATCAGGCATGCAAGCTTCCATATCCTCATGCAAGGCACACGGCACTATGATAAGGCTTGCACGAGACATCAATGGCTAGGCCAGAAGGTTTCGCTGGACTGTATCACAGATCAGAAGGCAATGCGCTACAGGAAATCAGTGTCAAAATAAATCAGCAGACAAGTGTTGCTGAACGTACCTTACCTGAACGACAGCGCTAGCAATCAGTATTTCGCGATGGTGCTTGCGAGTTAATCCTCTGTCAACGTTTACCGACACGTAGCGATTCTTATATCTTTGGTCCGCATTGTCTTATGCCGTTGCTGAAATGTGCACCTAAAAGTTTAAGTATGTTATAATGTGTACCATTGGTGCATGTATGTCGACTACCTCCTCCCCCAATTGTGAGCGCACGCTCTCCGTAGATGTGTCCCCAGGTGGTCATTAAACAAGCCCGAGTGTCATGCATTATTCTTCTCACATACAGTTTCACTGGAAAAAGATTATAAGATATTTTGTGTACATCCTGTGCGTGCAGAACCATATACCATGTATTGTGCATTCTGCTCTATTTTCTGCATTTTACTTCCGGTCCATTGAGACCATCGGTGTAGGAACAGGGGGCCAGGGGACCATGGACCCCCCACTTTTCAAGGTGGGGGGGGGCTTGCAGTGTTAACTGCTCCCCCCCCCCCCACCCTCCTCCACTTTTCAGATTAAGGTTGCATTTGGCTTACTTTTGCACTACATATAACATGCGTGCCGATTTACTTATTTCACCAGACATCGCCCTTAAGATGCGTCATCTTTTTCGTTCATTGGCCATCGCTTAGTGTTACAAGCCGCAAGGCCGAAGCCGCATGCGATGGAGACTGCAACGCCGGGTGTCGAGGCTGTCGTTGCTATGACATGGGAGCGCGCGCTTGCGTGTTTAAGACCATATTACGTAGTTTTCTTACCAGTAATCAGTTATGACAGGATCTTGAGCATATTAAGACGAACATGGGTTAGCCATGTTAATGGAAATTAGGAACCCCATTTCATCTACAATCTACCATCAGGGAGAACTCAATATCTCTGAAGAACACAGAAAAACACGGAACTAGAGTCTTTGTGACAATTATTGAACTATCTGCGGTGATCGTGGATGTTGTTGCGTCAATGAGGGTTCCTGTGCTGATCTGGGGCTAACTGCGCGGGTCAGAAGGCCTCCCATGTCAGGGATGGGAACAATGTGGTATGCTATATCCTTTTAATGGCCTCCGGATCGACCAGGCGATCCCACTCCGTGTCGCCAGAATGATAGCCAGAAGACACTTCGCGATGGAACGGAATGACCCTTCAACCCTTGACCGGAAACGGTTATGTACCCCCTATGTTCTTCTCAAGAGGCCATTACCCGGAAGGAAATAAGGTGT